GGGGATTCCTAACAAAGGGATAATATGAGACCGTGGATATACAAGGTTTAGATTCCGCGATTCGAGAGACTCCGTTATCCGCATTACATCAAGTCACAAATGACGCGACTGCACATCACAACCACCACGCGAATTCCACCAACCTTGCCTGTAACTCGCGGGACCCCTCATGTCCGGCATTCTTGGTCCCATGTCGAAGTTACATTTATCCATCGGACGGTCACAACGAGGTCCAAAACTTCGAGAAGGTTGATCACCATTACTTCGATTGACCGTTGCACATCTCTCCTACAGTTATCATTGTTTTTTCGTCCACCTGCACGTAATGAACAACAACATGATTAAAGGTTTGGAAAAAACAGGCAGAAAGAAAATGCTCGAGAAATTTCGTTGGGACCCACTCCTAGCACAGGAGAGATTTCAGCATCTCTTCCACCGTTTTCAATCTTTCCGCTTTCAGGTAAACGGCCACCACGCTGGCTTTTGTGTGCGCCACGTCCACTTACGCTGCTACTCTCTCGGTTCTCGCGTTCAGATTTTTCTGACCTGTGGAAATGAGTTTAGCTCGAAAACGTCTCAAAAATTCCTGTACCTACCCTCGCTGCTCTACTCGTTCCTTCTGAACAGCTCCTTTTCGTATACGCTCTTCCCACGTAAGTTCTCTCGGCGAAGCTCTGGTGCGACGCTCCCGCTCCTCCAAACGACGTCGTCTAGCGCTACCACCGCCACTTGTATTATCCCCATCCTTTCCAAGACCAGGCCAGTGCTAAAAACGACATTCGCAAATTGAATAGAACCACCATAGCGCTCAAGTTAGTCACACCTTGTCCTGCACAGACATCTTGCTAAACTGATCCGTGAAGGAACCAACTGGTGGTGCAAGATTGGCACTCGGGCCAATGGGCGGCTCATCACGCTAGAAAATAGGCTCTTCCGATAGTCACATGAAGTACAGGGAGCAGACAAACAAAGATCAGTTACTTACAAAGCCGTCGTGCGCTGAACCGTTGAATGAAGGTACCTTCAACGTCATTGCATGAGATACTATACAACATGGATAAGCAAGCTCACCTCTGGCTCATCTCTTAGTTCCGGAGGAATGCTCGAGGTACTGCTTACCCAGCTGGCTGTATACGCAGCAGCAGAATTCTGAGTTGCATTCTCCAACATAGACAGGCTAGCTGTTATGGGAACTTTCATGTCAGTTGCTTGGATATACGAGCTCACCATGAAATGTATTGTCACTAGTGTCGGTCTTCAAACTGGGTGGAGGGCGAGCTGTGTTAGGCATACTTGAACGTTGGCGGTCGTAGCAATCCTTTAATACCAGCATTCAATGAACATCATATCATATGAGAAGTTGTATAAACAACGGAGTTTGATCATGAAAGAAGACTAGTGTCAACTACTTGAAGAATGTCAACTCACACAAATGTAGAAACGACAGCGATTTCGTGCATGAGATGGAGCATCTCTATTCCACATTAAGGTGTGATACATTCTTGGGTTAAGCTTGTCCAAAAACTGCGGTGGTACTCTCACCGAAAGGAACGCCACAATTTTAAATGGCTTCAAACTGCCGCGTCGGCGTTCTCGAAGTGACTACGCGCGCGAGCGGTTGGAGCAACTTGGGTCCTGAGGCGCTACAAACTTGGCATGAAACAGTGAGCGCGCACAATTCTTCGACCATTGCCAACATTTTTTGGATTTTGCCAAAATTACTCGGCCGTTCGTCGACCTCCCGCTTTTCCCCTT